TTGAGCGCTATATAAATGTCATTTATTATTTATTATTATTATTATTATTATTATTATTATTTCACGATTTTAGGAGCACCTACTCTTATTTATCGATTTTTAGGACAATCAACTTGCACGGGACCTTCAAATTCAAGAATCTTTCTCCCGTATCCGAGAAGGCTAAGTTTAATCGACGTGGTAGGGTTTAAGATATTACACTAGGATTTACTTGGATCCTGAGCTAGAATCATAGCAGGCGGCACATGTCCATAGCTGCTCTTCTTTCCTTTCCAGCGTCCACCTCAGGGTCTTCCTGCTAGTTGTCTCCATGAGGAGCTGGTTTGAGACATGCCTGACCACTCCACGGAGCAAACTTTTTTTCGCTATGCCCCGCACACACTTTTCTTTTAATGTGCGGAGTGTGTGGGAGTCTGTCTCCTCTTGGTCGTGAAGGCTCTCCTTGCATCTGGCGATCACCATTGGTGGGTCGAGCATGATTCGGCTATTGGGTGCTGCCTTGTCGGCAAGTTCATCAGCACGCTCATTTCCGTGCACCCCGGCATGACCAGGGCAGAACACCCATGTAATCCTTAGGAGGTGGCTATTTGTAATGGAAGCTCTCCAGTCACTGTAGAGCCACCCACTCCTGATTTTTTCCAAGGTGCTCATCGAATCTGTGACAAACAGGGCATGTTTATACGCTTCCATACTGATCCATTCCAGCGCCTCTGTTATTGCCTTGACCTCCATTGCCATGCTCGATGTACAGTAGTGCACTCGTAGGCTCCAGACTGTTCTTTAATTATCTTCCCGTCAACTCGCCCACCCAGATTTCTGGCCACGCCTCACTGATCCGTCAGTGAAGACGACAACATCACCCATCACTGAATTTTCCTCAAGGATGGCCATAATTTCCGCTTTAGTTGCATTAAGCTCGCCTCTCGCGACACTCACGACCGAGGGTAATAGTAATATCATCTTAACTACCCAAAGGTCAGGGGTGTGGAAGAAAGACAGCAGTTAGAAGAGGCCTTATTAGCATAGTAGTAAGGCAGCAGAAAGAGCCAGGAGTTCAGAGTGGCAAAGAAAAGTACAGTTGGGGGGGAGCACAAAGTGGAGACGAAACCAGACGACAGGCTTATGATCAGAGAGCAGGAAAGGTGAAAGTATAATTTTTTTTACAGAAGAAAATTTTCCGTCGCTTTAGGACTGCGAAGTTTAAGGAGGCCGAAGATCTACTTCCGGTGCTCGGAGTTACGTACGTCCCATGTCGGCGCTCTGTGACCCCACAAACACAACAAGACTAGATCTAGCAGTGACGACAGGGAGGAATGAGTGATATTACAAAACCACAATGCTTTGTAAACATGGCGTGCACTTTGAGGTTAACGATTTATGAAAACGAAACTACTATGGATTTTTAGAAAAAAATGAAATAGAGTGTTATAACAACGAACTCCATTCCATCTGTTGGATATTTTTGTATGCCTCATCGGCGACACTGCTTTTGTGTTTGTGTGTCAGTTTTGTGTGTGTATCTGATCTATGCCTATGCCGATACTTTTTGCTAGAGATCTAATCAATCTAGATCTAATCTAGATATCTAGATCTAGAATCTAGATCTAGATTCTAGATCTAGAATCTAGCGGTAATGTTGTTTTGGGATCGAGGCAGACATCGACCTTTTGCCTGTCTTGAAAACTTTATTGTGATTTGATCAGTGTAATTATTTATTTATAACCCTTTATTCTAACTTTCTATTGTTGGATTATGCAAGACGACCTCTGACGGAGAGTAGTCGGTGAAACGAAACGGAGCAGCAAGTGGACCTGACTGACTGGTGAGCAGGATTGTGAGAAAGTGTGTGTGTGTGTGTGTGTTGAGATTTATTTTTTTTTAAAATCTTGCTGACTGACTGCAGCTCAGAGACACTGTCATCACCATGACTCATCATCTCTGATTTTGCACAGTATAAATGATATGATGAATGTGAGTCAGAATCATTGCTCACAAAGAAATGAAAATGCATGGAATGAAAATGCATCATGTCAAGAACGATGTCCAAAGTAAATGTAAAGCTCAGTTGACAAGTTAATGAATGGTCACACTGAATGAACAGGTACCACCCTTCGGGAGAAGTGGTCCCAGCCTAACTCCATAGAAATTTATGCACACAATCACAAAAAAAAACTGAAGTCGAGTAAGAAAGCTGGCTGAGTTGTCAGGGTGAAAAGACCACTGGTAAATTTATAGGAGGGCCAAATCCATTTTAGACTATCTTTCTGCTCTATTTTACCGTCTTTTAATTTGCTGAGAACGATATTGGCACTAAAACTGTCACAATCCATTATTTTTGTGAATTTAGCAGGGGGGATTTTTTACGCGACTTCCGTTTTTTTTCCTTTCCGATTGTAATGTATAAATTTCTATGGAGTTAGGTCAAGTTCACTTCTCCCAAAGAGTGCCAAACAGGCCAGAGTGGTGGCCTAGGACATAGGTCAGCATGTAGTATGATCTAATGAATGATGTAGCAGTTACTAACAACCATCCCTCATACCCTACAAAACACTGAATGTGGTATTATTTTATTTTACTCGTCATGGACCCGTCTCAAGCTTAGATTCTGTAAAGCACTTTTTTGTTCTTTTTTATTTGCTTTACCCTTTATGCAAATTTTGACATTATAATGTCCATTGAAAATTCTCTATTTTTTCTGTTTTGCAATGTGTACCTGTACTTAAAACTTGATGGACCAATGTTAGTAAAGCTTGCTGTATATTTCTAGCACTGCAGTTTTTTAAATTTATGTACACATGACAGTTTTATAATTTTACAGGACTCTTGAACATGAACCAGTTTATGAAAAAAAAAGTATGTGGTCGTATAACCGTAGAAATAAATAATTCACCTCATGGAATAGAACTTGGAGCTCTGCTCCTTGTTGTGAATATGAAGAGTTTACTCTAAAAAAGTTTTCTTCATCATATGTAATCTCATCTTTTTCTCTTTCAGCTTCAGAGTATGAGGAGTCTCTTGGTTCCCTTCCCAATAGATGTGAAAGAAAAACTTCCTTGAGGTAACTGATAGTAGTTTCCCAGATTTCTTCTGGACCTGGTTCCACCCTCTCCAGCCCCAGGTCTTATCTCAGTCTGTTTGGATGGTCTGAACCGAAAAACCTGCAAGCCGGGCCGTAAATGTCTGCTCTGTAAACACACAGGGCAGCACCAAAGGACGATATAATACATCAAACTATTTTGTACGGCAAGTACCGTACAGGAGAGTTGTCGAAATGGCCAGCACGGAAGCGAGATCCCCCGTGACCCCCCGACCTCAGTCGTGCCCGTACCAGGAGTACGTGACCCAACAGCAGCGCACCCTGGCGTCCCGCGCCAACTTCAGCAAGGAAGTCCGCGACGGCCAGCGGCTGTGGCGACAGATGATGATGGGCTTCATGTGCGCAGGCTTCGTGGGCCTGGTCATGCTTGTGCTGGGGACCATCTTCATCTCAGAGGCTGTGAGGACACTGAAACAGCAGCCAATCACTGTCATGTTGTGTGTTATGGGCATCGGTGAGTGCGCTTTTTTTTTGCTTTTTTTTTTCTTGATGTTTTCTTCACAATTTTAATCTTTCTGTCTCTTCTATCTTTCTTGAAGCTGTAGTAGCCCATCACCGTCATTTTGTGTGTTATGGGCATTGGTGAGTGCTGCTCTTCTCCTCTCTGTTTTTGTATGGGGCGGGGAGAGGAAGGAAAGATATTCAAAGTTGAAGGCCACTGAATTAACAACCTCTCTTTTGTTAAATTCCTCTTACATTATTTAAAAAAAAATTGATTCTTTATTTCGATCTTTCTGTCTCTCGTAATCTATCTTTCTTGAAGCAGTAGCACGTCACAGTCATGTTGTATGTTATGGATTTTGGTGAGTGCTGCCTTTCCTCTTTTTTTTTTTTTTAAACCATTTTTTGTGCATCATTCTTTGTTTTAATCTGTCTTTCTTTTCACTGTACTTTCCAGTTTTTGCTTAGACTGCCTGTGTCTCAACAATTAACAATTCCTGTTGACATCATTTTTTATTTTTTACATTGTTGTCTTAAGTTTGAACTTGAGTTGTTTTTTAAAAATGTTAATTTATAACGTTAATAATATATATGTAAAAATGTTAATAATTTCCAATGAGGAAATACGCAAGTTGCAAGTTAATTAATGGAATGGTGGTCAGTGCCTGATATAATATTATGTCATGTATATATATTTTGAACTAGATAAAAAGGTGAACACGCCTGAAAAATCTGAAAAACTTAGTTTAACATTGTGTCTAAACATTGTACTGTAGCATTTTGTTGAAACATGATTTATTGACAGTGTTTGGTCATACTATCTTGTTTTAGGGTTGAAATGCAGTCTGTAGGTGTACTGTAACTTTTTCTTGTGGTTGAAAATTATTAGAGTGCTCTGGTGTGGTTTGCTTAGAACTACTTTCCTATCAAACATCTGTCGTCTTTATCTCCCCTCCTTCTTCTTTGTGTATTACTCTCTTGTAACACCTCTAACCTTCGGCCCTTTTATATATACCTTATTGTGTTGCAAGTGCTGTAAAACTCTTACAAAAAACAAAAAAAGAAAGAAAATTAATTACTAATTTTTTTCCAACCTCCTGACTCGGTTTTTATTGTTTTCAGTTTTCGGCATCATCATACTGGTGGGCACGTTCATCCTCGGGAGAGTGCTCATTTCTCGGAAGTGGATCCGCTGTCAGGGGAGACAGGCCACGCCTGCCTCTCAGTGCTTTCACACCTGCTCAGGTGAGCTTTTTGTTTGGATGGGCGCTTTGTTGAACAGGAGGGTCATGAAGAGTCATGTCCTGACATTTCTGTTAGGTCCTTTATTTCTGTTTTCTCTCTCCTGACTTTGAACTAGTAATAATAATAATAATAATAATAATAATAATGATAAAATAATAATAGTGATGATAATAATAATAGTGATGATAATAATAATAATAGTGATGATAAAAATAGTAATAATAAAAATGATAATGATGAAAATAGTATTAATAATGATAATGATAAAATTATAAAAATAAAAATAGTATAATAATGATGATAATAATAATAATGATAATAGCAATGATAATAATGATAATAATTATAATGATAATAGTAGTATAAATTGCATTTATACAGCCATGTTTTATTAGCTTTACAACTATTCCCCCCCCCCCCCCCACCCAGGGGCAGTGCCACTGACTGTAGTGTCTCAAGGTCATTCCCAAAGGAGGGACATTTCTCGTTCTTGAAGCACAGTAGAATTGTAAATGGGCTGATTCATGTCACTCTCATAACTGTGCCTGATCTTTCTTTCCTAATCATTGCTATTGTCATTTTCCTCTACTTCTTTTATACATGTTTGTCACACTTTTGTGACCTGCTATTTCCGGGGTGCCTTGATAGTTGAAGCAGACCTTGTGCTGTTGAAGCTAGAGAGGTGAGCAGAGTAAGTCTGATTCCCTGTAAAGATTTCTCTGTTGACACCCACCCCTTGGCGCCCATATATATGTCCTTATGCAGTTGCGAGCGCCGTAAAACCTTCTACTATTATAATAAAAAAAAAAATTACAACTATTGTTACCCCAGCAGACCCTAGAACACTCAGAAACATTCTCCGCTTCCCTGGAAGCATACAGTGCAAGCAGATGATTAAGTCCTCAAACACCCAACAAACTGACAAGATCTTTCCCTGTCTATAGCCGGGTACCACTCCCTACCTGGGTGAAATGAGTCGAATGTTTTTGTAAAGTGCCTTTCTCATGGACACAATGTCGGGATGGGTGGTTGACGGGTGCACTGGGGTGGTTAGCTCCTTCTTTCCTATCTATTCAAACATTTATCGTCCTTAGCTCTTCTCTTTTTTTGTGTTTGTTACTCTCTTGTGGAGAGAAAGAAAGAGAGAGACAGAGTGAGAGGGAGAGAAAGAGGATTACTATAGGAGCAGTGCGCTTCATATGTTCTTTGTATTATTGTACCGTGCATTGAGCACTTCTTTCTGGAAATGCGCTAAATAAATGCAATTTATTATTATTATTATTTGTAACACTTCTTTAATCTTTGGCACTTATATGACCTTATTTGTGCTTCAAGTGCCGTAAAATACTAAAACTAAACAATGTTGAGTCCCTGGCAGGGTTTGAACTCACAAGTTTTCAGTGGGTGGTTGGCGGGTGCTCTCGTGTGGTTTTCTCCTTCTTTTCTATCAAACATCTATCGTCCTTATCCCCACTTCTTCTTTTTTATGTTTGTTACTCTCTTGTAACACCTCTAATCTTCTGGCGCTCATATGACCATATGCAGTTGGGAGCGCTGTAAAACCTCTACCAAAATAAACTAAAACAAGTTTTCATTGCGAGTACAACAGCCCAACCACTAACCACTAACTAAACAGCAGTCACATACTTTCTGTTCAGATGTGATTTCAGTGACTTTGAGAGGTGATATTTTTTTATAGTTGTTTTTGTTTTTTATAAATTTTATGAACTGTACCTTTTCAATTCCTCTTTTTTTTGTTGCTTTATTTCTATAAAAAAAAAAAATTAGAGATGTACGAATATATCGCTAATAAAGCTGTGTTCTCACACTGCACTCTCAGAAATAAGGTTATAGGTTGGAATGCATACTACGAGGTGACATTTCGCTTTAAAATCGTAATCCTGCCACTTCCGTAGGGGGATGATATTGATACTTTTTTTTTTGGCTTTGTTTTATTTCCCAGTTATCTACAGCCCTTCTCTCGACCAGCTGGGAGCCAGCGAGTCGATGCTCGAACCGCCACCCTCCTACGACTCGGTGGTGCCGGGCGCAGGGCGGGAGGTGAGCTGCGAGGTGGTGACGGTCGGCGAGACGGGCCAGGACGGGGTCGGGGAGGCACTGACCATGGTGCTGCCACCCAAGTACTCGGAGGTGACCAAACCTCTGCCGGAGTACACGGAGGAGGAGGAGAAGGAGGAGGAGGTGGTGGTGGTGGTTGCTGATGCCGTACCTCCTTACAAGGAGACGGAGAGTGAGGGGGCCCCCGCTTAGTGGTAGTGGTAGTGAGCTGTGTGTGTTTGTGTGTGTGTGTGTGTGTGTGGAGGCGGAGAGTGAGGGGGGGGGCCCGCTTAGCAGTAGTGGTAGTGAGCTGTGTGCGTGTGTGTGTGTGTGTGTGTGTGTGTGTGTGTGGAGGTGTGTGTGTGTGTGTGTGTGTGTGTGTGTGTGTGTGTGTGTGTGTGTGTGTGTGTGTGTGTGTGTGTGGAGGCGGAGAGGGAAGGGGGGCCCGCTTAGTGGTAGTGGTAATGAGCTGTGTGTGTGTGTGTGTGTGTGTGTGTGTACACGAATTTGGCTGGCATTATGTACATGTTTTAAATACAAAGATAGACGTATAATGAAAAATGGTGGAGCAGAAAACCGGTTTGCTCTGTGCTTGTTTCAGTATCTTTGTGTGCAAGTTAGCTGTGTTTGCCATGTGTGTGTGTTAGCTCCATGCGTGTTGGCTGTGTACGTGTTCGGTATGTATGTATTTGCTGTGTGTGTGTTAGCCATGTGTGTGTTTGCTGTGTGCGTGTTCGGTATGCGCGTGCTAAACAATATCCGTCTTGCCTTTTTTCCCAGCACTAGATGACGGATGTTGTGTCAATGTGCTTCTCTGTGTGAACTCCCACTCTCAACACAAGCGCTGTGTGGTCATATGTATGTTCTTTTTACAGAAAGTCGGTGGCGTCGATGGCCTAGTGGTTAGGCTACCGGACTCGTAATCGTGAGGTTGCAGGTTCGTGGGTTCGAGCCGTGGGCCTGACGTTGTGTCCTTGGGAAAGGTGCTTTACACGAATTTTCCTCACTTCACCCAGGTGGGAACGGGTACCCGGCCATAGACAGCGAAAGATCTTTTCAGTATGTTAGTGTTTTAGCACCTATAAATGGCTGCTTGCACTGTATGCTTCCCTGGAAGTTGAGGTCATTTCAGAATGCTCTCAGGTCTGCTGGGGTAATAGTACAGATTGTGAAGTGCATAGAGCTTGCTGTTGAGCGGGGATTTGCGCTATACAATTACTATTATTATTAAACCAAACGCATGCTCTGGTATGGATGTGAGACGTGAAACAAGTGTCTGAGGAAGCTACTGAGGATCAAATGGACAGACAGGATCACCAACGAGGAAGTAATAAGAAGAACCAGACAGAGCCCAACCAGAGATGAGGTGGGAAGAAGATGTTAGCGAAGGATTGGACACTCAAGAAGTCAAGCAGCTGCCTAACAAGAAAAGTGTTAGATTGGAACCCACAGGGTAAAAGATCAAGGGGAAGACCTCGTGGAACCTGGAGAAGAGTCAGGGAAATGGATGTGCAGAAAAGTGGGAAGACGTGGAGTGACATCAAGCGACTAGCCCAGGATAGGGAAAGGTGGAGAGTGTTTGTTCGTGGCCTATATCCTGACCCAGGGTGAGAAAGGCAATGATGATGATGATGATAATAATGATTGCATTTATATAGCGCATATCCATGCTCAAGAGCATGCTCTATGCGCTTTACAACTATTATTACCCCAGCAGACCCTCCGAGAACACTCAGAAACATTCTCGGCTTCCGCGGAAGCATACAGTACAAGCTGCGGATTTCACGCGCTCAAACACTATCAAACTTACAAGATTGTTGACTTGTCTATAGCCGGGTACCCATTTCCACCTGGGTGAAGTGAGGAAAATTTGTGTAAAGTGCCTTTCCCAAGGACACAACGTCGGGCCCCTGATGGGATTCGAACCCACGACCTTACGGTTGCGAGTCCGAGAGCCTAACCACTTGGCCACCAACGCCACTGTATGATGATGATGTTCTGGTTTCATTTCTTGTCTCTGGGGCATATATATATAAGAAAAATGTCGCACTGTTTAATTTTTTTTCGAATTGTTGGCTGTGCTTCTCATGGACGTATTGGGACAGCGGCTGTGATTTTGTCAAGCAGGCGAGTGGTTGAGCGGAAACAATGACAGAAGGTCCCACTTTTCTTTCTCTCGTTTCTTGTTTCTGCCTGTCCGTTTCGCTTTGTCCCTGAACCAAAATGGCTGCTATCGTTGCAACGTGTGCTGCTCTTTTCTTGAACATTCGTTGTGCAGACGGGTCGATATAACTCATTTTGACATCATGCTGGATTGTGATGCTGATGACCTGGGTTCAATTCCTGGTAAGGATGTGGTGTGTGAATTGTTGTTTGAAGGGGTGAAGTTATGGAAACACTGGTTTACGGGGATGTTAAATTTGTACCATATATATTTATATGTGTGTCACGGCATGGTGAAATCACGGGCTTGTCAATTTTGGGGGGTGTGAAGTTATTGGTATCAGCTGAAAGAATGCCTTTTTCTCTGATTTCGTCATTTTGACGAGCATCTGATTTCACCACACTGCCTCACATATACATACATAATATATATATTATATATATATATATATATATATATATATATATATATATATATATATATATATATATATATATCAGTTTGGTTTGTTTTCTTTTTTTCTTTTTTGTCCTATTTACTCTTGGCCTGATATTCTAGTTTGCTTGTTGTGGATACATGCATGTGTCATGAGGTGCTTGTATATGTTTTGTGTTGGGGGAAACAAATCGGAACCGCTGAGAAAAGTTTCTCAAGTGAAATTTGTTTCTTTTGCTTAGAAGGAGCATCCCATGACTGAGAGTTTATGATAAAGTGGTTGTGTTTGAACGCGGAGGGTTAATGATTTTTCTTTTAGATCTTCATTTAAGTGATCTAAGTCTTTAGCTTGTACTATAGCTGTTGACTTGCCATTCGTCACTTACAGTACTTGAGGTCGGTGGTTCGTGCGGGTCGCTCTGGTGTGGTTTGCTCCTTCTTCTTTCCTCACTAACATCTGTCACCGTTCCGATAGTTTTTGTTTTTTAATAGTCTTTAGCCGTTTTGAATATTATTCTGTTGATGTTTTTGAGTTATTTTTGTATTTTGATTTTAATTTACAAGAAACTTTTTTTTCTCAGCGGATTAGAATGTGCCAGTAGTTTGTCGTTTCCTTTTATTTGTGCTGCAATTCGGTGAAATCAGGTACTCGTCAATTTTTAGGTATAAGGAATATTTTGGTAACATCTTAAAGCTTGTTTATTTGTCTTGCTTTTGGGGAAGAAAATACACTCCTATCTTGAATAGAAGTCGAGATATTTGCAATTGAAGGAGGTGGGGTAGCCTGGTTTCTGAGGTAAAATTAGTGAGAAAATGGCCACCAAAGACGCATTATTTCTTTCGCTTGAGAGTCCGTAGAAACTGAAAATTTACTTTTTTTGTGCCTTTATTCCTGATTTTTCAGTAAAATCCACACAGAAATGGGTTCTATAATGGGCATGAAGGGTTTTGAGCCAAAAAACGAAAATTCAATAAAAATTCACACACCTGTGGAAAAATACCAGTTTCTTCTCTTTTATTATTTTGACAAGCGCCTGATTTCACAACACTGCCTCTCATTTGTCTCATTTTATTTTAGGCTTTATAAAAATCTGAATGTGACATGACACTTCATTATTGAAGATCATATCTGAACGTACATGATATTATATGTACGTAATAATATATATATGATCAAAATATTATTTTGATGTCTTTCATGAAGCTTAAATATTTGAGTTGAAATTAATATATTATTACAATTCATGCAATCTCTTCTTTGCCCACCCCCACGCATTCTTTTCATCGTCTAAATATATATATATATATATATATATATATCTACAATTTGTTCATATTTTTGAATGCCATAGATTGTGGTTATCTGATCTGAAAGCAGCTGAGCCAAGAGTTGTCGCTGGTCCGCTCTTGTTATGGATGTGCTTATATTATTGTTTTCAGTTTTTGATTATCTCTCAAAAAGCGAGAGGATATATGCAGGGCATTTTATATATATGTATAGATATTTAAATGTGCTTATTTTCATTGTGACATTATAATGGTTTTTCTAAATGAATCAATGTAATAATTATAATGCAAATGTATTCCAAACCTTCAGGTCACAGTAATTATGATCTTCAGCCTTTGAAGTCATGGTTGTATTTGGCTCTCTATGGTTGGCCCCGTGCCTATATTCAGTGACACTTTTCTTTTTTTTTGTCGCTGTACATATATATTTTCCTTTACCGTCTCTCTACTTTTTAAAATATAATATTGATGAATGTTTTTGACCGACATATCCATTTCGTGGATTGCGAGAAGTAACTCGTTTTGTCAGCACACTTCACATTTCCTAATCATGTATATGTGAGGCATCGTGGTAAAATCGGGCACTCGTCAAAATTATGGAAATGGAAAACACCAACAGTTTCCCGCTACTTTGGCAAACAATTTTTTAAATTGAATTTTTTTTTTTTATTCGTCTGTTTTGTCCGTTCAAAAACACATTTCTGTGTGGATTTTACAGAAAAACGATAAAAGGAACAAAAAATATAATTTTTCAGTTTTTGAGAACGTTCAAGCTAAGGAGGTAATCAAACTCGTAGGGCTATTTTATTTTCTCCCTAATTTTACTTTTAAAATCTGGTGACCCCCTCCCTGTCCCCCCCCCCCCCTTTCAATTGCCAATATTTCGACTTCTTTTCAAGATAGATGGGTTGTTGTTTTTTTTACACAGAAAGCAAGGCGAATGAACAACCATTCATTATGATGATGATACCAATTGAGTTTTTTTTAAAACACAGCAAGCAAGGCGAATGAACAACCATTCATTATGACGATGATACCAATAACTCCGTATACTCAAAAATTGACGAGCGCTTGATTCTACCATGTCATGCCACGTGTTGTGAAGTTGGCTTAACTCCTTGAGTGGTTGAGTATGTTCTGTTTTGGGGTACATGAAAAGTGAGGCAGAACTTCCTCGTTCGTACAGGTTTTTTTGTGGGTGGTTGAAGGACGCCACTGGTAGATCCTACTTCTTGACTTTCCCTCTGTTGTTTCTCTGCGTCTGTCTGTCAGTCTGTCTTGTTTTTTCCCCTGCACTAAATGATCGTTATTGAGTCGATGTGCTTCTCTTTACTCGAGAAAGACAAAAACAAAAATGTAAACGCCTGACAAATTTTTCAATTATGTTTCAATTATCTGAAACTTAAAAAAAAAAAAAGCCGACAACATCATTCATACGATGAAATATAAATACATGCAAATTC